GGGCGCCGCTGGGGGCCGCCCCTTAAAAGGGCGCCGTCCGGGCCCGGAAGCACTGCGCCGGGAGCCCCGCCGCGGCGCCCAGTTAAGAGAGAGTTAAGGGAGGCTGGTCTTAAAGGGGCGACAGCGCCGCAGCCCCGCGCGGGCTGGCGGGGCTAGGACCCGAGCCTCAGGCGCTTCTTTAAAAGGGGAACGGCGCTGTGCTGGGCGGAGCGCAGAAGCGGGAGGGGCGGGCGGAGCGCGGAACTGTCAACTCTGGCACCTCCCCGCTCCGCCCCAGGCTCCCGAGTGACAGGTGGAATAGCAGCCCGGGCTTCGGCCCCCAGGCCTGTTTATCACCCGCTCCAAAGTGGGGGCTGACACCGCCTTTGTGCCCTCGGCTCGGGCCCCACCCCGGGCCCCTTTACACCCCTGGCTCAGGTCCGGGTGGTGTCCGAGGAGCGTGGAGCGCACGCTAAGGCCACTCACAGCTGGCGCCCTCCTTCTTGGGGGCAGGCTGGATTTAGGGACTCCCCTGGCATCGTCCCAATTCCTTGTCCTCATGGAGCCCTGCAGTCAGGCTGCCTAGACTCCTGAGCCCCCGGGACAGAGCCGCAGACTGTTGTCCAGGCGAAGTTCACAACAGGTTTAGGGCTCCCGTTCTTCTGACTCCCCGGTTTGGCCTTGATTTGGACCCGAGGGGCTGCACTGAACTGATGCAGCGCGGCCATGAGTTTTCGCCCTTTGATCTTCTTTCTGTCTGCCCCAGAGCGAGGGCAGTCGTCTGCTTTTTCCTCCTCCTCTTCCCACCCGAGGTTTGTCCTCCCTGGCTCCCGGCCGAGTCCAAGCCGTTGACTTTGCGCTTGCTCTGGGTGCTGACGGCCCCTTTCTCTGTGCTGGGACTCTCGGTAGCGCAGCTTCCGTGTGCCTCCCGCTTCCTCCCACCCTTTTCTTTTGTTTTCCTTCTCTCCTCCCCATTCCATCTCTATAAAGCTTTCCAGAATTTCTGCTTTCCTCCGCCTTGAATCCTACTTCCTGTGTTCCCAGAACGGGCTGTGTGGATTGCCTGGTGTCTGTTGGAACAGGGATGGATCCGGTGCCTGTGTGAGTGTGCGTGTGCGTGTGTGTATGTGTGACTGTGGCCCTGATGGGGGTCTTTGGGGGACCTCCCTGTAGCCCCTGCAAGTATGAGCCTGACCTGGTCTTGGGTGCATGACCTTCTCTACCCTTCCTCTTGCCCTTTCTCCTCCTGGAACTTTAGACTTCCAGATGCCTCTTCCCCCAGGCTGTCCCTCCCTGACACTACTGACCTGCTGCACTACAAGCAAAAGTCAAGTGGCTGCCATAGCAGAGTGTGCCGGTGGGCTGCTGAACCGCAGGCTTCTAACCCAGCCCTTCAGTTGCAGTCTTCTGGAGTCGCAGGTGTGGCTTTGCCACTACAATGGAAAGCTGGATGCTATTTCAAGGAAAAGCTTGCCTGTCCACTTTCTGAGAAATTTCTAGAGCTGATAGGGGAAAAAATAACCGAACCCCCACCCATCCTACTCCTAGGTCAGCTAGAGCTGGTGGAGAAGGCAGCCTGTCAAATGAAACTCCTAAGTTAAAATCCCTGAATCATCTCTGGAAGCTCTCCTGTCTTCTCTCAGGTTCTCTGGCCTTCCTGGCAGGACCAGTCATACAACTAGTGCAAGGTGAATTTTTCTTAAAGATGCCAGGCAAGGCCAATACAAAGCTTCCTTTCACTCCTTTTCTGGAATGCACTTCATTTTGCTTCTCTGCATTTCTGTTGTAAATTAAACTACTTTTTTCTTGCTTGGTTCCCAGCAGAATTGGAGAACAGCATGTCACTCTTTTCTAAACTAAAAAATAATATACTTGGAGCTCGTGTGCAATTCTTCTTGCCCTATTCTTCTCCAAACTAAACAGTGCCAGATTCTTTAACCTGTCATCAATAAGCCCTATTTATTATCTGGATTTACATAGTATCTTTTATCCCTGGAACTCAAAATGCTTTCAGATATAATTGAGCCTGATCTCCCTGGTGCCTGAGCCATTAAGAAACCATTAGTGTATTCCTGTTGCAAGCTACTAAATGGCCCCCTAGTGGTCTGAAAGTGAATATGCTTTCTCTAATTGCCTCTCCTCTCTAAAGGTAGACGGGAATCAGAATCAAGGCAGTTTAGGGACACACTGGGCTCAAGAGGCCAACCCTTGTGAATACCCCACCAAGCGTAGTGCCTCCTCCAGCCTCCACAACATCCGTATGGCTCGTCAGCTAAATGACTGTTTCTGATGCTGAACTTTGTCTACTTCCTGTGGCAACTCTTTCAGCCTTTGGAAAGTTCTGACCAATTGTAACAACAGCAAGAACCATGCGTTCTTGGCCCATTGTCTCACAGCAACATATCAGGTAGCTACTACTGATCCTCAGTTTGGAGAAGAATCTGCTTCAAAAATGTTAAGGCCTTATGGAATTCAAACCTAAGTCTTTCTGCTTCTAGGACATTAGGTTCTTGATCCCTGCTCGGCTCTGCCTCAAAGGTGCAGCTGAACTTTGCAGTGAATGGAAGCATGGGGTACTCCCAGGTCACCCTCAGAATGAGAACACATTCCTCCAGCTCCTGAGAGCCTTGACTATTCATTTCTAATAGCTATACCTGTTCCTGGGAATTACCTTCAGAAACCAAAGGAAGCTGCCTTTTTCTCTGCATCTATAAGACCAATAAAGAGAGCCAAGTTGCACAGATCCCAGCTGGAGATACGCAGGTCCTGCCTGGAAGACAGTTTCCTGAAGGAGCTGCAGAGGTAGCCGCTGTGTACTGGCAGAGCCAGGAGCAGATGTATAGGCTAGGCAGAGGTGTCGGGGGAGAGGGATTAGGGAGCTGAACATTCAGCTGAGTTAGGGTGACTTGACTGTAGATACCCTAATAAGGATCCTGGAACACAGAGTGAAATGGAAATTCCAGAACCACCATGGCAGAAGGTGGAAGAAATGTTTAAAAAGCCCAGAGAGCTAGGTCTAGAAGATTACAGCTGTAATCCCAGGTACTGAGACAGGAGAATTGAAAGTTTGAACCCAGTCTGGGCTATATGGCAATTTAGTGAGACTGTGTCTCAAAATAAAAAAGTAAAAAGACCTGGGGATGTAGCTCAATGTGAAGGCTCTGGGTTCAGTCTTCAATACTGCTAAAAATAAAATATCTCAGAGAGCAAGAATACTATGGTGGATGTCCTGTGTGTGGCCAGAAACTCATGTAAGTCCTGCAGGAATGCCCAGAAGATATCCTGGGATGAAAGCAAGAAGGAATGGCTGGTGAAAGGGATACTAGCATCACAGAGTAGCTCAGTTTTGTTGTCCTCTGGAGGCCAGTAAGAAGCCCTCTCAGCACTGGTTTCCTGATAGCATTGGGTTCCTGAAATCATAGAAGGTGAATGTTGACACAACTATTGTAATGAACAACAAGTTGGAGTGGTGGTCGGGGTTCCTGACCAGTAGAGTTATGCAGGTGGTTAATGTTATAGCATCCCCGGGGCAAGCTGGCTGGGCAGTCAGTGGTATTGCTCAACCTGTACCAGTGGTTCTTAACTTCTTGGTTTTAGGACCATTTAACTATTTACTTTTGTTTGTTTTGTTTGGTACTAGGAATTGAACTCAGGACCTTGAGCTTGCCAGGCAGGCACTGTGCCACTGAGCTACATCTCCGGCCCTAGGATCATTTTACACTTTTAAAAATTGAAGTTTGTAGAGCCAGGTGCAGTAGCTATGCCTGTAGTCCCATGTACTTAGAGGTGGAAGTGGGAGAGTAACCTGAGCCCATGAGTTTGAGATCAGCCTGGACAACATGGCGAGGCCCCTCTCTCAAAAAACCAGCCCCCAAAACCCAAAAAACAAAACCAAAACAACTCCAAAAATCAAACAAACAAAAAGCCTTGAGATCTACACAAATTTTGTTTAATGTTACATGTACCTATTGATACTTTCTACATAGAATAGGTAGATAAATTTGTAAAATATTATTTATCTAAAAATAAGCTCACTATGTGTCAACAGCACATTTTTATGAAAAATAAAAATACTGTTAAAAATATATACTTTCGCCGGACGTGGTGGCGCACGCCTGTAATCCCAGCACTGAGGAGGCTGAGGCAGGAGGATCCTTGCAAGTTTGAGACCAGCCTGAGCTACAAAGTGAGCTCAAGGCCA